AAGGTACCAGATGGCATAGAAGAAGGTAAGTTTCTAAAAGGTAAAAAAAAAAAAGACTATTTCTACATAAACGAGTGATCTTGAAATGTTGTTTACCAGCAAAATCTCTGGAGCATCACAGCCAGTACCCAAGTCCAGTACTCAGCACGACCTTTAACAGGCAATGCAGCCTTTCTAGATCCTGTCCTCTCAGCTACAAAATAAGAGTTAAAAAAGTACTTCCTTTTAAATAGCGTTTGAGAAAAATTAAACCGATGACAGAAGTCAGCAATGGACATGTCATTTTTCTTGAGTTGCTTTCATCAATTCTCCTTATCTGTCTTACTAGAGAACCTGGCATATGTAAAATGACATCTATTCTACTGGTCACCACCAGAATTTATCCCAGCTGATGCCTGCTGCTTCCATCACAATTCACACCCCAGGGTCCTCCCTGGTGGCACAACAGGTTAAAGTGCGGCACTGTGAAGCTCACTGCAGCCACTGCAGCACAAGTTCGATCCCCAGCCGGGGAGGTGACCCACAGGGCGCAGCAGCCCTCTCCTGTCTCACCCTCTGCTCCCCTCAGCAGTGTATTTCAGTCGGTCTGCCCATTCTGCTTCCCATTCTGGGAGGCAGGAAGGTTGATTTTCCCAGGCCATCTCCTCCAGGGTGGGCAGAGCTGCGACCCACTGAGGCCAGAGCACAGCAGACTTTCTTCTGTTATCTCTGACATCAAGACACTGTTTTTCCTTTGCTTTTTAGATAGTGCAGGCCTTACTATAATTGTTTAGTTCAATAGATTAAAGCATATACTGGAATAGGGTGAAAGACTCCTGAAATCTTACTCTCTGGAGAAAATATCATTTGTCCTTCCAGGCTTTTCTCTTCACACACAGATGTACATGCGCCGGAGACCAGTTCCGGTGAACATGGGTTGAGGAAAGGGAGCAGAAAGAACTTGGAAATAAAGAACTGACTGACACAAAAGAGAGCTTAAGAAGTGGGACCCCAGGGACGAGGGCCTCTCATTCTGGGCTCACATGTCCTGAGAGCCCAGCGCAGCTCATTTTTATGGTTACAAAGCGCCCTCCCCCACCTCCTTGTCACTTACTAGACAATAGGTCATTCTCTCAGTATTCAGCCTTGTCAGGGCACAGTCACCACCGGGGTTCTGATTTATCAGGTACATTCTACTCGCTTTCTAATCTTGCTAGTTTCTCAGGCTCAGCTTTCCGGACACAAGCAAGACATCGTGGTCTGGACACAGCCAGTCCGACAGCCCACGTTGACCCGTCTTCCAGCCACGACCCTGATTTTTTTTTTAATCTCAACACTTCACACCTCCGGGGTCTCCAACATACATGCACAATTTTATAAGAAGTTGGACACATGTTACTTGCTTCCTGCCTGCCCCACATGCTCCTACTTAGCCCACCAGAGACCACACGTTCATCCTTGCAGGGCTGTATCCTAAACCACTGCTTTTTGCACGTGCACAAAGTGGACGTAAAAAATGATAATGGTAGGGCCCTCCCTGGTGGTGCAAGGAGTTACATCATAGCATTATGAGGCTCTCCAAAGCCACTGCAGCAAGAGTTCGATCCCTGGCCAGGGAGCTGACCCACATGGCGTTGGCAGAACTCTCCTGACCCACCCACTGCTCCCCTCAGCAGTGTACTTTGTGATCTGCCTGTTCTGCTCCCCGCTCTGTCTCTGGTGAATCCTCTCACTGCCCCTGCACCTCTGGCCTGTACCCCCCACCCCCACCATTCTGTATGCATAAATAAATAAATCTTTTTTTAAAATGATGGTGGAAAGCAAATATTCACAACGGCCTTTGAATGATAGCTTAGTTCAAAAACTGAGGACATCTCTAAGGTTAAAGTGGATTTTACCAACACAAATCGGAGGTGGAGGGCTTTTTTGTGTGAAGTCCTCAAGACAGGGCAGCAGCCCTGGGCTCTGTGCTGTGTGGCCCACACCCCTCCCCCGAATGACTATTCCTTGTGGAATGTGGAACTTGTGGGGCTGAACTTCTAATAAAATGAGAACCCGCCTGTCAACCTCAGTACACTTACAGGACTTAAAAACCCCTTTTCAGCCTTGGCATTAAGAAGTTATTTCTGGAGCTAAGCGAATGAGAAAGATGGAGATTTGGGCTCATTCTTGCTTTCTCCTGGCAGGCTCGTGATCCACTCCAGAGGTCACACATAGAGTCCTTATCCTCTGGGTGCCACCGTGATCTGGAGGCCAAAATAACTGAGGCCACGCCTCAGGGGACACTCAAGGGATCTTTATCTGGAAATGTGACTCATCGCTTCTGGGATTCATTTCCACCTTGCCAGAAGCCTTAAGTGCAGATGAAAAGATGTTAACATACTAATATTATTTTTACCCACTTCGATATTCTTCAGCGTATGGCTACTGCTTAGAAAGTTTGAGTGTTTTGCTACACTACTCCTAGATGATGGAAACACAGATTGAAAGAATCTGTATTAAAATAAACTTCTGCTGGCTTAAAGTAATGACATTCAGTACTGGAAAACTTGAACTACAGCTCACAAGCTGGATTTACTCTGCAAGTGGTTTAATATGAACTGATAGGACACAATTATTTTTGTATATATCAGGGTGCATTCATTAGGGGTAGAGGGGAAAGGAGGGTGAAGGCTGAAGGGGGGCTTGGGGGGGAGAATTTGGGAAAGCCTGGAGGGTGTCGGGGGTCAGTGGCAGAGATAGCATAACTTGGAATCCAGACACCAAAGGTCTAAGAAACAAGGCAGGCAGGGTGGCCACTTGGCTAGAGCAGAGCCCCTGAGCAGACAAAAGGGGTGGCCCCAGGCGGGTTCCTAAGGGTTGTGTTCAAGAGGCAAGTTCACAGAAAGTGGGGCTGCATCTTTTGTCCAGGTAAAATCCCATTCATCATGCCTAGAACTGAAGTTCTGTCCTAACAGGCCATCAGAGGAGCAGCTAATGGTCACACAGAGAGAGCCACCAACTTCCTCTTTCTTGCAGAGCAAGGGATGGGGAGGGCGTCCCTTGGCTCCCATTGGGGAGAGGAGCAAGTTAGTGGGGAAGAAATCTACAAGCCATCTGCACCATTCTTCCCCAGCCCAATTACCCTCCCTCCTAGGAAGATCATAAAGGTTAGAAAATATATTTTCACTACAGGAAAAGTGAACCATCATCAAGACACTGAAAAGTGGCCTTTTCATAATAAGCCACACTGGTTTCTAGTCTTTTAGCTCTGAAAAGAACACAGAGAAATGGTTTCTTGGTATTCGTGGCCTTTAGAGCAGTGGTTCTCAATGGTGGTCCCCAGCCCTGCAGCTTCACATTAGGGGTCCCGACAGAAATTCAAATTCTGGGCCCTCTCTAGTGGTACAGTGGGTTAGGACTCAACACTTCAAGCTAGACGCAGCCGCTTCAGTGCTAGTTCAAGGCCCCACCCCAGAGGTGACCCACATGGCACAGCAGACCTCTCCTGACCCGCTGGCTGATCCCCTCAGCAGTGTGCTTCATCGCTCTGCCTGTTCTGTTCCCCACTCTGGTGAATCCTCTGACCCTCTGTATGTCTGGCCTGTACCCCGGTTCTGTATGCATAAATAAATAAGTCTTTAAAAAAAAAAAAGAAAGAAATTCAAATCTGTGGTCCCACCCAGGCCCACAGAATCGACTTTCAGGGGTCTGAGACAGCAATCTTTGTTTAAATAAGTCTTCAGGAACAACCAAGCTATAGTTTGAGAAGCAGGCTAAAGTTTAAAGAGACTAGCCCAGTGGAAAGAACTCTGGATGGGAGCCAGGGACTTAACTGAGATTCTCACTCAGGATACCAAGGTCCAATTCAGAGAAATTTAATAACGACTTGTGACATGCCTCTCTCTGTGCATCGGGGATGAGGCAAAGATGTCAGGATATCGAGACATGTGAGATACTGTTCATATTCTCAGAAATGTCTCATTCTCTATATTCTTCTGGGGCTAGTTGTTGATTTTGCTTTGATTCACATTTGTATTCTCACTGCCTGCAAAGCTGCAATACATATAAATGCAGTACAGTCATTCCCGACTATGATAAACATTACTGCACCATTCATCAATAATCTTAATGTTGCTCCAGCCTAGTTACTATTATCCACCATTTATTTAATGCCTGTTGCATGCCAGGTGCTGAGTGCTGGCCATATATTCAATCCTTTGAGACATTCTGTACCGTGGGTAGTATTTTTAATCCTCCTTTGCACATCAAAAAACGGAGGCTTGAAACATTAAGTCATTTATCTGGTGAAACAGTGGCAGAGACAGAGGTAAACCCAAAAATACCTTACTTCAAAGCTCATACTCTTAAATCTGGTAAAAATTTTCAAAATCCAGAAACTCAAAAGCTGACTTTGCAGTAAAGTTCCAGCCTATAAGGTAATAGCTGATTATCTTTTCATGATCTCCACTTTGCAGACATCACCTTAATAATCAAAGACTCTTGGAGACCACAGTGAGAAACAATACGCGTAGTTTCACTGGACTGGTCTGACCCTTAAAGTTCATGCCAAACTGCTCACAGGAAGCACACAGGTAAGCAAACAGGCCAGGGCCAGTCACGAGAGAGCGCTGGCAGAGAGAGCTGGTTCCAGAGAGATGAGTTAGCTGGGGCAGGCCTGGGAGAAAGGGCACAGATGACTGTACCCCCAGGGCGCTCAGGCACAGGGAAGTCACATCACAGGTGACCGCGGATACCAAGGCTCGTGATGTAGCAACTAGAGAAGCTACCAAGTATCTGAAGCCAACTAAAGTTCCGGGGTCTTAGACAGCTAACGCTATCGACGGTGCAATGCTGCTTCCCCCCTGGCCAGTTTGCTCCCTCCACATGTTCTCTTTCTCCTCAGTGTCTGCCAAAGATTAACCTGACAGCTGCTAGCTACACTTTTCTTGTGAACATGTCAAGGCCAGAAAGGAATGTTTGGGTGGTTAAAGGCTATCGGTACCAAGAAAAGAAATTTCTATGACAAGCAAAGATCTTACCTTACTAGGAGGTGGCCCATGGTCATCCAAGTAAGTGGAATTGCCTAGGGAAAAAAAAAAAAGAAAAGTAAATGAATCAATCATTTTAAACCCAAAGTGAACTTAGTACAAAGTCATTAAAAATAAGCATCTGGACATACTTCTATTCAGATGCCAGTACCAAAGGGAAATTGGTATCATCAGTGTCTGATGTTAGTGACACCACCACACTTGAGTCATCATTTCAGCGATCACAGACCTTTTAAGTACATAGTTTATGCAAATGCACACAGACAGAAGCACACACAATTCCTCACTCAGTATCTATTGAGTTAACTTGGACTAGAATTACCTGTAGAACTCACTTTAAACACAGATTGCCTGGCCCCCTTGCTAGAGTATCTGATTCAACAGCTGTGAGAATTTGCATTTCTACCAAGCTCAGGTAATGATGCAGGTCCTGGAATTGAGCCTGAGAAACACTGCTCTGTTTCTCCACTTTGTTTTGATTGTCAACTCCCCTTCATCTTTTCAGTCTACCTTGCTTCTGAAGCTTGTTTTGTCTCCCCTACTAGCCTTTTACCAGCAAGTGTACTTTCAGTACACATGGCTATTATTTCCTGATGAATAAGAACTCAGACGGGTTAGGATGAGAACTAAAGACTATTGAGTTCTTAAAGTAGCAGGTAATCTGCTAAGTGCTTAACAGGTATTCATTTCATTCAGTCAAATACCAGATATTTCCCAATTCTAGAGAGAACAAAGGCTGGAAAATCCAGTCCCTCGCTCATGGTCACAGAGCTGGGAAACTGCAGACAGGTCAGGAGACTGCTTTGTTCAAGGCCTGGCACACCTGCTCCCCCCGACAGCCTGCCCAGAGCGTTGCTCCAGCTCTTACGAAACCAGGCTGCGTCCTCTCTCAACGTGATCGTCCACCAACGCTGACCACAACAGGGAGCCAACGATGCAGTCAGCCGACCTGGAGGCTTCCCCAAGGGGTGGTCTTAGGGACATCATCTTCAGCATAAGTAAAGATGACCAGACTTCCTAACAGAATGAAATCTAGAAAACACTGGTAACACAGCAATACTCAGAGAATAGCAGCAGCTGAGGGGAAAAGGTCAAGGCCCTGGAGGGAGTAGGTGAAAAGTACTTTTTCAGGAAAGCGTGAAAGTGAGTTAAGAAACTGGAGTAAAAGGGGGAAGCAGCTTCCCCCTTCAGTGGGGGGGGAGGGGACTTCAATGGGGACTTATCAAAACATCAGGAGGACAGAGATGTGCCCACACGTGGGGGGGGAGGGGCGCACCTCAGAGTGGAAGAGGTTTGCAGGGTAAGACGCTGCTGTGCAGCGAACAGCCCTCTTGTTATTTATTTCTTTATTTTTTAGAATATATATATTTTTAATTATTACAGAAGTTTATTTTTACATCATTTTGCACATTTTTTTTTTCCATCTCGATTGTAATCCCCGCGGGTTTCCCATCACCGAGTCACCCGTGTGCCATCACCATAGTCCAGTGCATTTCCCTCCTTCCCCCCCCCCCGGTTTTTAATCCCATTCCCCACTCCACCCCCACAAAATGTTATTTATTTAGTAATAGTGAACAAGCATGATGGACTATGTGACAATGGCAGGAGAAATGTGGCCCAGGGGAAACAAAAGATACTCATCTTTATGAGAAACAGGACTTCAAAGGGATCAAAGAGTAATCAAAGGGTACCAATTATACAGGGACCAGGGGAGGGCATGCTGGCCGTGTATACAGGGAGAACTCTCTGTGCAGATGCTGGGTGTACTTTTCAAGTTGCCAGGTTGTCTCGGACCCTGACCACAGTCAACGGTTACTAGGCGTCCCCTGCCACCTCGAGATGTGGGTCATTGTCTCAGGGCAGTGGTGCGGGAGCCATTTACACACAGCTGCACAGAGACAGGCGCGGAGGCCCTCGGTGGGAGAGGCCACAAATGCACAAAACAGTAAGTGGGTTTAGTATACATGTTTTACCACTCTGAGTCATTAGCTGTCATTTTCCCCTGTGGTCTTCAGATGCATCACCCACTTGCTGTCCACAACGATGGTACTCTAACTGGCCACTTGTGTGTGATAAAGGGACAACAAGGTCCAATTTTCCTGGGCAGGACTCTCAAGCACAAACACCTGCATGCTCGTGATTGGGTTATTTGCAGGGACCTTTTCAACGTGAACATGACTGACAACTTGTTGCATCTTAATTACTGTGCTGCACGGCCCTGGGAGCATTTATAATTACGTAGTGAGAATCAGATCTCACTCAAGGAAGAGGATATTAAAAAACGAATTTAGAAAACAGCTGTCCAAGTCTAGAGAAATGTCTGGAACGATTCAACCATCATACAGTGGGTAGAGCTGCAGAGGGCTCCCATCTGCTCATCACGGGAATGGAGTGCTTCGGAGGGATGTGCGGATCCCACCTATTCCAAGGGTCTGTAGGAGTTGAAGAGCAGTCAGAGAACTCACTATGTCTAAATCACTAAAAGTTTCCAGAGTTCTCAGACACTCCATAAAGTTTTGATTTTAATAGCTGACTGTTCCCTCAAATTCCAGACGTGATTATCACCAGCTCCCCCCTTACCCCTACCTAGAGGTCTACAGGCCATTTCTCCAGTCCAAACAGAACTCTTTATTTGGTCCATGTCCGCCCCAAATGATTGTCTTCGTGGTCTTTTGTACTCATCCATTCCCCTGTGAGATCTAACGTCCAAGAGTCATCTTTGATCCATTTGCAAGTTCAAAACATTACACAGGGCTCTCCTGGGTGGTGCAAGGAGTTAAAGCGCAGCACCACGAAGTGTCCACAGCCACTGCAGTGCGAGTTCGATCCCTGGCCAGGGAGCTAGTCCACGTAGCACGGCAGCCCTCTCTCTCGCTCACTGCCCCCCTCAGCAGTGTACTCAGTCAATCTGCCTGTTCTACTCCCCTACTTTGTCTCTGGTGAATCCTCTCATGCCTCCCCCGTACCTCTGGCCTACACCCTAGTTATTTTATGCATAAATAAATATATCTTTTTTTTAATAAACCAACAAATTACTCAAGTATGATCATGTCTCATCAGCCCCTCTGGGACATCCAGGAGAGAGCCTATGTGCCCTTCACTGACGGCTAATTTTCTCCCCTGCCAGACAAACACCACAGGTATCAGGGAACCATATCGGTCCATCTCTGTAGCCTCTGCTTGAAATGGTCTTTCATCCTCAGTGGCCCAGGCTGCCTCTTACCCATCTACCCCTTTCTCCAGCCACAGCTCAAACGTCCTTCCTTCCTCTCTCCTTCCCTCGCTACACCCCACTCTCCCTTACTGAGGATTCCACTTTCGTCTGAGGAAAGAAAGGAACAGATGTTGGCCATCAGTCCCACTGTCATCTTCACCCGCAGGTCCCTGAACTCCCACCCACAGATACATCCCTGAGGCTCACTAGAACCATGGCTGCAAGTGCCTGGCTTTTGTAACAGAAGCACCAGAGGGAAAAGGTAAAAAGTAAAAGTAATTCATTAGCTGGAGACTGCACATTTTTATTCTCCTAGGGTTTGACTGTATTATTATTTGGTCTCTAGATGGAGTGTTTTTTTTTTTTTTTTAATCCTAGAATCTTATGCTTTCTGTGTGCAAAGTAAACAAAACAGTCATAATTTTCAAAACAGAAATTGATAACTTGTTAGCTGTGGAGACTGGAGCATGAGCCCTACTATCCAATGAGCTTCCCTGAACAGGCAGGCTCAGAGGCATCTAAAATGCAGTTCTGTCTTGTCAAGGACTCATGTCCCTTGACTGCTGGGCTTGGAACTCAAGTGTATATTCAGTTAAAAAGGGCCAAGGTTGGCTAACAAAAGTTCTGGAGCCACCTACGTCCAGAGAACATCCACTTTCCGAAATCCTATTTCTGACTCCAGGTCACAGCACCCCACGAGATGGTGCCGATTGTTTCTGGAGGCTTAGCATTTACTTTCTCCCCAGAAAGCACCCCACAACGTGAGAGCTCTGATTTCAGCTTCCTTTTCATGTCTCAAGTCTTTCCTTTGGGGATGAAGGATTCTAGTACTTTGGGAAGCTGGGGGAAAAGGAAAGCCATACATCCTTCATGTTTTCATTCCTACCATTAGTTAAACTTTCAGAAAGGTCTGTGTCTACTCTGCCAAGAAAGCCATAGCTCAGGGTGGCATGGAGCTAAACCACACCAGAAAGTCCAGCTCAGCGGGGGAAGCAGTTAATGACCTGAAGCAACATGCCTGCCTGTGGGCCTGCACGCCTCTGTTCTACACCGTGATGACGATGGTGGCTGCATGGTTCTGGGTGGGGGGGGGTCACACCTTACGGAACTCTCTCCCCAAAGCAGTAACAACTCAGGTGGTTTAGTGGTTTAAATACCCCCTTACTAGAAGGCAAGTGGACTCAGGCTTTGCAGCCAGCTACATTATGATGCTTTCTAAATGTCCTCCTATCCCTGTTGCTCTTTATAGTGGAGGCGTCCCAGGTCAGTTGCAACTGTAACATGAGAGATCACGTGTGAATGTGCACAGGTGTGAACGGCAAGTACCTGGGAGTTACATCTTATGGACTCCACAGCATACTGGACTACCAGAGTCTCGGCAGGGCCGTAAGCTCTCAGTGCCTGCCTATTTTAGCTCCTTACCGACGACCTGCAGTGAAAACACCTTTCAGGAGTTAGGAGGTCAGGATCTGTGACCTGGAACCTGAAGACTCCTCACTGATTCTCACACCTGGGAGTCACCTGGCAGAAGCGGGCATGCTGGTCACACAGGAGTCATCGCTATGTTTTCTGTGCACAGCTGTGGGAGAGGAAGCCAGCTGTAACACAGGATACCTCTCCTTTCATAATAGAGAATCCCCCCAAGAAGTGTCACTCCACTCTGAAATGTTTTAGCTCCTCAAAATTTTCCAGACAAACATTTGCAAAAATGAATTGGCTTCATAAGTTATTGTAAGAAGCAGAGTGGAAAACTTTTGGTCTATGAAATGCTTAGAACAAAACCTGTTCACAGACACACCTGGCACACTCACTGGCAAGCAGATCCCCCCTCCCTGTCTCTCCATCGTCCCTCTCAGCAGCTTTCAACCCTTCTGCACATTCCACTCGCCTGCCATGATCTTAAGGAATGTGGACACGAGCCCAGCCCGAGCTGTTGTCATTTAATTATTCCTGAACAAGTCATCTGGCATTTTTATTTCCAAACGTTCTTCAGGAAATTCGAATGCCTAGCTTTGGTTGGGAACCACTGAGCTACAAAACACAAATAAATACACTTCATGATCTTGGCCAAGTCTCTTTTTCCACAAGGAAAAAGTAACAGATCTCGCTCGTGCTGATCTTAATCATCTCTAGTGAAAGTTTGTATGAACAAGAGTTTCACACTGACGAGCGCCGGTGGTCACAGCACCCACGCTGGGAGGCGGCCAGGCCGGCGGCCCCAGCCTTGGCATCTGTTGAGGGCCCGGCAGGCTCACAGGGGGCCTACCAAAGTTGGCTCAGGGCACCTCATAGCACAGAGCTTACCCTTTAAACCACAAGGCTTACTCAAACCTTTTTGGGACTCCACAAATCTTTTCAAGAAAAATTTTCAGAGTTTATAGTTTCAGAACGTATTTGTTCTTGCAAACAAGGCTGAGAGTGTATTTTCTGTCAAACTTCTTATTTAATGGTAAAAACAGAGCAGTTAAAGTATAATTCGCCATTTGCCAAGTCTTCCCAAACCTCCCTCAGCCTAAAACACAGGGGGATTCTGTCAGTCCTGCCTGGAGACACTAAGATCCACATGCAATCATGTCAAGGGTCCAGAGACCTGCAGGAAGAAGTCTGCAGGAAATTTGATGCAAAGTCACTGTCTGGCCCTTAGTCCAGTGAAGCACCCCTTCTTCCCAGACTAGGGTCCCGGAATGGAGTGGCATGGGGGAAGCTGGTCAACACAGAGGAGCTGCTGCCCTGGCCATGTGACTCCAACAGAGACCAACACAACCAGATCAAGAAGTAAGTGGGGGCCCTTCCTGGAAGTGCAGCACTGCAAGCTGGCTGCAGCCACTTCAGCGCGAGATCGATCCCAGCCCCAGGAGTGACCCACAGGGCACAGCAGACCTCTCCTGTCTGGCTGCTGCTCCCCCCCCAGCAGTGTACTTCGTCCACCCACCTAGTCGCTTTCCACTCTGTCCCTGGTGAAGCCTCTTACTGCCCCTGCCCCTCTGGCCTGCCCCCCTCATTCTCTATGCATAAATAAATAACTCTTTAAAAGAAAGAAGAAAGTGCTAGAAGGACTACAAATAGAATCCTCAGGGGACTCATAGTTTCAATAGCAACCATAGCTCATTTGCCAGGAGAGAGTTAGGAGCTCCGGGAAGTCAGTTACTGGAGTTAGGAAGATAATGCTAACATGGGGCTGTTCTGGGCAGCCCAGGGGGTCACAGAGAGAGCACCGTGGGCTCCAGGTCACAATGCTCCCCCTTGCAAACTGACATGCCACCCCAGTGTCAGTGCTACCCCTTAGTAGTCGAGCAACTGTGGGAGTATTATTTCATTTCCCTGAGGCAAATGCTCCCATTTGCAAACTGGCATTAAACATAAATAACATGTAAGCAGTGGCGTTGGCATGAAAATGAAACAAAACACCAGTAAAAGTCTCAAAGCCCCGCCTGCCTGGCACGCAGGTAGCCCTCGGTGAGCGGCAACCGCCTCTTATGACCAAACATTGCCATTTACATACAATTTTAGTAGAGCACTCTAAGGCCAAGGGAAAAGTGTTGCATGCTAAGGATGGATATTAATATAAATAATTATTTTACATTTCCTATTTCCTTTTGAGACTGTCTCTGCTTTGCCTAAACCACCCCCACCCCCACCCCCAGCCAGTGTGAAATACCTTCAGCGATGTGCACATGAACTTACAGAACCTTCAGGGGATGTGATTTACTCTTAACTTTTAAGTCTTGCATTAGCAGATCTATTTTTGTCTAAATTGGTCCCTGAAGAATAAAAATGTTTTAATTCTGATTCCTCTTTATAGAAATCATAATATGCATTAGTGTCAGTGTCAGAAAAGCCGCCTCTACACTGTCAGTTTCAATCAAACACCAGCAATTCTCTTCCACGGACCCTTTAAAATCATAACCAGGAGCAACTGAAATCCTCTCTTCCTTTTTACTCAGCAACAGGCCTCTGGTTACCTACACCGTCCGAGGGCTGCCTCTGCCCCCGGAGCCCCGGGCGGCCTCCGATAAGCCCCGGCTAATGAAGGGGGCACTGTTGAAGGCATCGCTGCAACCCCGGTTTTGTCCTTGCCAAGAAATTATGCTAATACCACACTTTCCACCCTTAACCATGGGCTCCATTTCCCTAAGAGGCAGCTGTCAGCACCCACCAGCCGTGGCTCACAATGAGGAGTTTGTGTGCTGAGTAAACGTCTCCAGGAACCCCATTTCTTATAATTAACACAGCCCCAAAGACACCGGCAGGGAGAAAAATTGCTTGCGCAGCTTTATTTAAAGCTTGAAGAAAATTATTTTCCACCAAATTAAAGCTAATGACTTTATGGACGATCCATACTAAATATTTGTACAAAAATGCCTTTTTAAAAAAAAAAAATCTTGACTGTTCACCCAGCCAGAGTGAACATAGTCTTTCGACCCCAAAGGATAAAAATGAACATTCCGAACACTGAAAATAAAATCCAAAGGAAACTACTATCCATTTAGGTTTAGAAAGTGGCTCCCATTTCTAAAAAGGTTTAAAGCAAATTTAAAGGTCTCTTTGTATTTCAAGCTTAAAAACACTGCCTTGTTTGATAATGTTTTCCATTAAATCTGAATAGACATTTTTAAAAATGTTTTTATTTTTTTTTTACATCATTCTTCATTTTGTGCGTTTTTTTCATCTCAGTTGTAATCCCCATGGGCTTCCCACCACCAATGCACCTGTGTGCCATCACCATAGTCCAGGGGACTCTTCCCAACCCAGTTCAGATCCCATCCCCCACTCAGGCCCCCCCCAAATAAAATATCTCTGGTTGACAGTTATTTGTTGCTTTCATTTTTACTTTATTATAATTGCTTCCCCTCCCCCCCATCCCTTACACTCCTACTATGAGTGAAACACTCTGATATTTTTTCTTTTTCTTTCTGGCTTATTTCACTAAGCATGATCCCTTCCAGCTCCATCCATGTTGCTACAAAAGGCATGAGTTTATCTTTTTTGAATGCTGAGTAATAATCCATTGTATATATGTGCCACATCTTTTTAATCCACATCTTTTGATTCCACATCTTTCCTATTGTAAATAGAACATGGGGGTGCAGGTGTCCTTTTGAATTGATGTTTTTGTGTCCTTTGGGTAGATACCGAGGAGTGGGATTGCTGGGTCATAGGGAAGCTCCATATTACCAGTTTTAGAAACCTCCAAACAGCTTTCCAGAGTAGTTGTACCAGTTTGCATTCCCAGAAATATACATTTTAAGTGCAGGTGTAGAAAAAATTACTTTTGAATTTAAATGATCAGTGTACTACAGTTATAACAATCTAAATATAATATGAAATATGGCCTAATTAGTCTAGAATTCCTCTTAATTATATGATATGATGCAGGTAGCATGAAATGTCAGAGATGGAACCACCTGTGTGTATCAAAGAGTTGGAATTCCATTAGGCTCCTCCTGAGGTAACCACCACAATCATCTGACCCCGACAATGTAACTCTACTACTTATAGCTGCGGCCAGCTTGCAGTGCTGAGTCCTAACCTGTTTCGCCACCAGGGAGGGCCCATACATACTTTTAAATGGACAAACAGGTTTTGTGTTCTGCCTCCTGCGTGATGAGTGTCTGGGCTGTGACCTAGGGCCACTGGTAAGTGAGCGACTGTGTCATCTATATTCTAAATGGTACAGTTGCCTGCTTGACAGAGAAATTACTTGCCACTTGCCAATTCTTTTCATGCTTTAGGAAAATGAATATGAAGGCCCAGTCTATGGGGTGCTTCAAAGAAACTGCACTGAGATGATATGCATGCGGACAAGAGATTTGCAGACTTGAACATAAACACCAATGTTGATTTAGAACGTGTGGGGATGAAATGGATTTGATGGCAAACCAGCTTAGACAGATGCTGTGGTGAAGGAGAATTAGCCCATCAAGGGATCAGACTTTCAAGAGATCATAGTTTCTTTTCTATGAGATCTTCCCATGGAAGAGAAGATTTTTAATAGAGCAGCAGACATTATTGAAGTCATTCAGAGCAGTAATCTCATGGGATTAACTAGCAATCTAACACACAAGACTGGTGATGTCTGTTAAAAAAAGACTGAGTTTCAATAAATTCATCATCTCTCTTTTCTGTCATTGTTTTAGTTCTATTTTGTATCGTATTTAATAGGAATAAGGTGAGATTCTTCTTTGAGGTTCATAGAACTATAATATTGGAAAATAAGAGGACTCTTATACCACCATAGGTTCCTCTGTCAGCAACAATAAACACCCCTCCAAAAATTCAAAAAAGTCAAATAGGTGCCTCCAAATCAGAAATTCTTTGCCAGAGATGAACTGAAGTTATGGAGCAAAGCACACATCTGATGGGAGTGGGCTGGGGACGGGAGCTTTGCAGACAGCAGCTCCAGCTGGCAACTCACTTACTGGGCATGACCTTGAGCAAGGGCTGCCAGTCTCTGGGTATAGTTTCTCCACAGAGAAAGCAAGAAGACAATGTATCTCTAGGGCTGTGGTATTAGAATTACCATTTATAAACTGTCGGCATGCAGATAATAATGACTGGATTATTATCTTGTAATCTCATGATTCCATTTAAAATAAAGCTGATTTAAAGACATGGTGTGTTCAATAAAAATTCTTCCAAGGACACATACATAAACATCAGTCCCAGCCTTGAACTCTGCCTCCCTCATTATACACTAAAATGGCCTGTCATTGACTTCCTCCACATTTTGTTTAGGATTTATGAGGAGAGGTCATACCTGAGCACGAATGAAATGTAATTTTGAAAACCCCTGCAGGATTTGGGTCTCTTATTCTTGTATTGTTATTCTGAAAGAAAAAGCGCATTATGGGTCATAAATCCTCTTTAGTATTTTGGTTTCTTTTCTAGCGAAGTCTTCATACTACCTTTCAACAAATTGAGTTAAAGAAGTGTGCTTTCTTACACCCAGTGAGGGGTGTCCTTACTAACAGCCTGACAGGCCTTGCACTCTTTGGAGTGCTAGAAATAGTGCTTCAGGGTCCCGGTGAGCTGCTCACTTTCTTCAACCACAGAAGACTGAGTTGGAGAGTGAAGGCAGATACAGGACTTGGGAGAAAAGGTCTGCAGGAGACCTGATGAAATTAGCATTTTTTTTTTTTTTTTGCATAGAAGAGCTGGGGTACAGGCCAGAGGCAGGGGTTGAGAAGAGGATTCACCAGAGACAGAATGGGAAACAGAACAGGCAACTGTACTGAAATACACTGCTGAGGGGAGCAGCGGGCAAGACAGGAGAGGTCTGTTGTGCTATATGTGAGTCAGCTCCCTGCCAGGGATCAAACTTAGGATGCAGCAGTGATAGTGCTGAGATAGAGCCCCCAGGTCACCAGGGAGGCCCACCATAATCTTTGTAACACAACAACTGATATTCTGTCTTTCATCCTTGTAATTATCAACTTGTTTGAAAACATTGCTAAATAAAAAAGCTTTCTCCACAGAATTTGAGAAGTAAAATAAATATAATTATATATAATTATAAATACACACACACACACTATAGAACATATTTTGCATTAACCAGATTTCCCCTTCCCATTCTTACCTTCCTTTAAGGTAGTGCTGAAGCTTTATGTATATGTGTATATATATATCTATATAAAGTTTTATATATATAGATGTACTATATATCATAGTTATATATATTCTGTAAGCCCAGAATTTTCTATTAACCAATTTGGCCTTTCCATTCCCACCTTTCTTTAAGGCAGTGTTGAAGTTACATATACACACAAGCATACGTATGTATACATCCCACATACACACATGTGTGACCTCTTACAGATATGTATTTGATATATGTAATTTCAACATTGCCTTAAAGAAAGGTAGGGATGGGAAGACAAAGCTGATTAATGCAAAACGTGTTTCATTCCGACTGAGCTGATGCCAGGCAAATGAGAGACGTACCCTAGATTTTCCTCTCTTGTGAATGCCTGGCAAAAATGTTCTGATTTATGGCTGCTGAAGAGGAAGACACTGGGGCTGCATGACGATGAGAGAGCCTAGCTTCAGGACACAGGGTGGAAGTTAGAGTTGAGGACAGAAGAGGTGATGGCACTTCTTCAGTATTTGAAACGAAGGTTCTTACAAGAGAAGCCACAGACCAGGCAACAAGCAGAGCAAAATTCTGCTTGGTGCAGAAGCCATGAACACTTCAGAGTCCAGCAAAGCCTAAATTACAAGCTTAAAAAAAAAATCATGCTCAACCAGAGGCATAAAAAGATAAATCATTGGAGGGTATGTGAATGCATTTATATGTAACTGAGAATAATTGAAGAAACCACTCAGCAATGGAGAAAATGTATTTCATGACAGTGCAAAGAGGCACTGGAGCAAAAATAACTTGTATGGATTATAAAAATAATAATGTAGGGTTATAAATAATATGAAAAATTGAATATGCTAATGGAATTGTGATGGTGGAAGCTGGAGATAGAGAATTAGGTTACATTGGCTAATAGAAATATGAAGCCGTGCAAGATGACTTTGTAGGTGGGGCCCTCTCTCCCTTCTGGGGGTTCAGGAAAAATAGGGAGGAGGAAATGAATATTTATTATGTGCTGATTATAAACTGAGGATTAGGCAAATCATTACAGTCCTCACTCTCATTCATTCTTCAGATAGATACTGTATTCTCATCTTGTAGATGAAGAAACAAACCCTCAGAGAAGTCAAAAACCTTCCAACACAACCAGCCAACAGCAGGGCCAGCCATGTCTAGAGCCCACTCAGGCCAGCACACGTCACTGGCTCTTCTGCTCACATGCCAGTAGTTTAATAAAACTGAGGATTTTGAAAAGCTTTTCATATCAGTGAAAGAAGGAAGCTGTGGGGTAATCCTAGGTTTTTAAAATGTGTCCTTTTATTTTTTAGTTGACTCATAAAACGAATGTCAGAGGACAAAGGGAAGAATTTCAAGACTCTTTAAATATACCACACGTAGAATTTTAAACTAAAGTTAATAAACATGTCACATAAACCTGTGCATACATGCAAGAGATTTTTGTTTAGGGA